CGACAATACGGTACAATATAACGAATATTTCTGACATTATTTGATAGAATCTAACAGAACAAAACAAGAAATCAACAAAAAAACGAATCGATAAATCGCGAAACAACCAAAAATCTAAAATAACCAACGAAAAACCTACCCGGTGATTGCGCGGCATTATTACCAAGATCACTGACGCCAACGCCACTGGTAACAAGTTGAAGGAACGACGGACCAGTGAATGATACAGGAATTTGCGTCGAAGTGGTCGAGAGTGGCTTGAAGAAGGCCGAAGTTGGTGAGTGACGATTTGAAATTAATGACGGAACAGAGCTTGCGTTTTGATTCTGAAGGGTCAGAGATGAAGATACTCCTGATCCTGCTGTTGCTGACGCACACGGATCCAGTACGCCAGGAAATAGAGATGTGAATACAGATGGTATGAATTCCAACTTTTCTGCAAACAAACCTAGTGCATGCAAAATCTTTGATGAAGAAAACACAGATATGAATCAATACTGATCGACTGGTTTAGTCCTTGATTGAAGGAACGTTTCATTGAATCATAAATCACACAAACACACATAAAATAAGCAGTTCAAATAGACTGTACGTATAAATTAATGGAGACTGGATAAAACGAGAGCAGGTTATTATAGATAACCAAGAACAATCAAACATGAAAGAATGTTTGATTTGGAAAGATTTATATTGATTACTTGAAAGGATGAGTAACTGATCGAAGTAACTAACGATGTGGAAGAACTGGGTCGAAAGCACTTGCTGAGCGTTCACCAATTTTCACTGGATTAATCATCTGAATTGACTGATGAGATGTAAATTTCTCATACTCAAACTCAAGTATCTCACAACTAGCATAACAATTCTGTCAAGTATTATTTTAACATCACGAACAATTCTTCTTAATTAATAATTAACACTTATCAATGTAATACTAGAATGAGGCGGAATTTTCGAAATCANAAATATTGAACAAACTGACCTTTGGCTTCATTTTATTACGCTTATTTTGGTGTCTTATAATGTACGCCTGTAGATCATTAACAAACGGCATCACTGTGTAGAAGTTGTTCGGCACCAAACCGATATGCTCACAAGCTTTCTGGTTGTTTCGATCTGTTGGCAGATCCCACACCGAGAACCATTGAATTTTGCTGGAAAATATGATGCTAAATTGAATTTACACAAATAATAATAACAGCAGCGATATTCAAATTAAAACGAACCCGATTTCATTTCTGGTTTTTGGTGCAAACTGAAAGTCCACTGGTACGTCGGTGACAATGTAGAGACGTGTCAATGTTTCGTTTATGAACTTTTGGATTAAACGATTATCGCGAATCTTTTCACTGATATCAAAGCCAACCTCCTCGAGTACTTCACGTGCCGCACAATCTGTTGGCTCTTCACTTTCATTCACCTTCAACAATATTTAATATCCAATTTCAAGTCCGATACAACAAAGCGCTTTTTCACTGAGTTCAGCTTCAAGAATCATTAAAACTATTCAATGAATTCANAAAATAGAATCATCTGAAAAGCTAAACATTCGTAAACCACGAGCATAATATATCTTCAAAAACAGGAACCTTTCCCTTCGGGAACCCCCAGCTGTTTCTCGCATAATATCCTTGCACCAATAGCACATAATTTAGCGAGCTGTCCAGCAAGATAGCACCGTACGTTGGCACTGATGACTTGTATTCACGCCACTTTTCGATCACCTGAAGCAACAACGCACTCAACATGAAAAATACGACGCGTCCAGCAATGAGCCGTGTAAACATCAGACAATTCCACACAAATAAATTCATACAAACAACGTCCATAATTGGCGATTAATCATGAACTCTGTCCCAAAACCACGAAACTTAACAGAAGTAAACATTCAGGATACTCACCTGATCAACTTGACCCGAAAACTCGGACAGAAAATCACAGTGGTTGAAAATTTGCCTGAAATAAAAAATGTCAATAAGAATTAACAACGTCGGCGATGAAATTTAACAAAGAAAAGGCAAAAATGCTAACAAAAAAACCGACCGAATGAAGTCTCTCAATCCAATTTCATTGCATTTTGGAGTAACCGCATCACCTTTGCAATAGAAGTCAATGTAGAACCAATGTGCCAACTCGATTTGAAAGCAAATTCGAATCACATTACTTTTCTGGAATGAAACTGAATTGAAACGAAAAGGAACTGAAAACATTTTGTGACTACTCGATTATTTCTTTGTGAACGATGAAACTGACCAACATTCGGACCAACTTATAACAATTTTAAATTCACTGAGCCATATTTAGCACATTTAAATTGTCAAATACCTAATACTTGGATTCGATAACGCAAACTTCCATCGTCAATAATACAGAATATGTCACCGTTACAAATGACATTTGTTTCATCTTATACCTTAGCGTTTTGATTTTGTTTTAACTCTTATTTTGTCTTAATATTATATTTGAGATATGGCGAATTGAAAATGCAAACCTCTTCTTCTGGTATATTGATGAGAAATCTGAAACAAATATCATTGAGGACATCTTCGGGAATCGGCGCCCCGAAACCACCCGGATACTGGGATGACGCACCACGATTATTACCAGTATTCCAGCCACCTGACGGACCAGCCGTCTGACGATTACCGACACCATTGTTATTGTTATTATTATTGTTATTTGGTGTTAGCGTTGAATTAATAAATGTTCTGTTCTGATACACCTTAAACTACTATTGAATCAGATATTCGTGACCATGGACAGATGGCACTTATAACTATTCCCTGAACCAAATTATTATGACGAAATCATCAATAAGATTTGAAATAGAAACTACCGAAATTAAACATTAACTAATGGAAATGAAGCTGAGGGGGGAGAGGGGAAGCATAAACTCGTAATAAGCTTCAAATGCTCATCAAGAAAATAAGTAAATGAATCACTACTTTGACGCAAATTTGTAAGTTATCAAAAGTATGATAAAAACCAAGAATTATTTATTGTGAAAAAGGAATCTGTACCTGTACGGCGGGTTTAGGGCGTTTTATTCGCGCATCATATGGCTCACAATAGCCGAGCGCAGTGTAGACCTCTTCTTGGGCACGACCTGCAAAATGTGTAAGATGAAGATAACTTGTTTGAGTCTACGCATTAGAAGATATGAGCTTTTAGTTGGAGCGGTAATAGTGATGATCAATACAAGTGCTAATAGTGACGATAATGATGATATGAACACTCGAAAACTACCAGGTGCCATTTGCTTCACAAAGCGTGCTCCAACAGTACGTTGGCCACTCTCTCCAGCTCTTCCGGCTCTTGGCTGACGTGAATGACTGGATTTATCTGTTAAAATATTACAGAGTTATGACAGAAAATCGCACTAACATTTGAGAACATTGAACGAAAATGCAATAAACGCATCATGAAGAATGAAATAACCAATTGGAATAGATGATAAATCACCAGAGCCCGAGGAATTTTGTGACATCTGTTTAGCATCTGATGAATTCTGTTGTTGCTTTTGAGCACGATTAGATTGTGTGCCTCTTTGTGAATGAAATTTCCGCGATGAACCCGACGGGGTGATTCGTGGTGGCCTCTGTTCATCTGCTCGAGATAACTGCGCACCTGAGAGAGGAAAACACCTCGATCAGTGCTTTACTATTCAACCAAGCCGAAAGCTAACGTAAGAACTCATAGAATTTCAGATTTTTCGATAAAATCTAATGCAGGTAGACATTGTCTGCGCTAGCGTTCGCTTCCAGAAAATGACTTCTAATCAAAACTAAGCACGCACATAACAAATACAAATGAGCTTGAGTTGTATTCACATAATCTGGCTCAATAATGAACCAAATCTTTAGCGAACGTATATTCATTCGGTAAGAAATGAGCAAAATTTCTAAGAAATACCAGAAGAAGACGGATGGGATGATGTACGATCATCGTTAGCTGAATCAGAAGCTGAAACGATTTTCTTACGCGATGATTTCTGAAAATTTTGCCCACATTAAATAGAA